CCAAGCCTGGATCCTGATTTCCCACCCCTGGATCCCATTTTCCATGTCTGGATTCCATTTTTCCATGACTAGCTCCCAATTCTCCAAGCCTAGATTCCGCTTTCCACCCCTGGATCCAATTTCCCAAATCCCATAAATCCCATAATCCTGGCAATTCCCGAATCCCAGCACCCCGAAATCCGCAAATCTTGAATCCCAGCTCCCCAAATCCCGGCATTCCGGAACCCTGGCTCCCCAAATCCCCAAATCCCGAACCCCGGCCCCCCAAATCCGGCATTCCGGAACCCCGGCTCCCCAAATCCCGGCATTCCCGAACCCCAGCCCCCCAAATCCCGGCATTCCGGAACCCCGGCTCCCCAAATCCCGGTGTTCCGGAACCCCGGCTCCCCAAATCCCGAACCCCAGCTCCCCAAATCCCGGCATTCCGGAACCCCGGCTCCCCAACCCCGGCATTCCGGAACCCCGGCCCCCAAATCCGGCATTCCGGAACTCTGGCCCCCCAAATCCCGGCATTCCGGAACCCCGGCCCCCCAAATCCCCAAACCCCGAACCCCGGCTCCCCAATCCCGGCATTCCGGAACCCCCAAAGCCCCAAATCCGGCGTTCCGGAACCCTGGCTCCCCAATCCCGGCATTCCAGAACCCCGGCTCCCCAAATCCCCAAATCCCGAACCCCGGCTCCCCAATCCCGGCGTTCCGGGCGCCTCACCTGCTGCAGGAACACGGGCACGCCGTCCTGGCCCAGCGCCGGCGCCGCCGTTCCCAGCAGGATCTTCTCGGGGCTGGCGGCCAGGCCGGGGCTGGGCTGCGCCGGGGCGGCGGCGCCGGGCCCGGGCTCGGCCTGCCTGGGGCTGCCGGCGGCCGCGGGGCCGGCGGCGGCGGCGCCGAGCCCCTCGCCGGCGTTGAGCATGGCCACCGGGCCGGCCAGCGTCACGCCCTGGATGACGGTGGGCGCCGGCGCCGGCGCCGGCGGCGCCGAGCCGGGGCTGGGCAGCGGCCCGGCCAGCGACACCGGCATCTGGAAGAGCGCCGGCGGCGCCACCTGGCCCGGCTGCAGCTGGATGGGCGCCGCCGACAGGATGTGCGCCGCGCCCGGCGCGCCCGGCGCCGCCAGCACCGGGCCCAGGTTGAGCTGGCCCGCCAGGTTCTGGTTGAGCAGCTGCGCCGGCAGCGCCGGGTTGGCCAGCAGCTGCGCGCCGGCGCCCTGGCCGGCGATGATGTGCGCCGGGCCCGCGGCCGGCAGCAGCGGGCCGCCCACGCCGGCCGGCAGCGCCGAGAGCGGCTGCGGCAGCGGCACGGCCGAGGCGCCGGGCAGCAGGAACTGGTTCTGGCCCTGGAAGGGCTGCGCCGGGATGACGATGGAGCCGCCCTGGTTGAGCACGTGCACGCTCATGGACTTGCCCAGCGCCGGCGGCTGCGGCGGCGGCGGCTTGAAGACGTTGGGCGGGAAGCCTTGGAGCACCACGTTGGGCGCCGCCTTGCCGGCCACGAAGGCCAAGTTCTGCTGCGCCTTGGCGGGCGCCTCGCCGGGCAGCGCCAGCGCGCCGCCGGGCGCGAAGGGCTTGGGCGTGATCTGGTAGAGCTTCTGCTGCAGCACGCCGGCCGGCTTGGGCTGGATGGGCGTGGGCGTGCGGTGGATGATGACGTTGGGCGCCGGCACCAAGGAGCCGCCCGGGCCCGAGGCCACCGCCAGCGGCTGCGCCGACGCCGCCGACACGCCGCCGAACACCGAGCCGCCGTTCAGCGCCGCCGTGGCCACGGCCGCCGGGAGGCTCTTCTGGATCACCAAGCCGGCTCCCTGCGCCGCCGCCGCCGCCGCGTCGGGCTGGGCGATGTAGCCGCCCACGGCCGCCACGGGCGCCGGCTTGGCCAGCAGCTGCGGCGCCGCCGGCTGGTTGATGGCCATCACCTGCTGGCCCACCACCTGGATGGGGCCCAGCCCCAGCGCGCCGCCGGGGCTGCCGTTGGGCAGGCCGGGCAGGTTGGGCAGCGGCTGGATGGTGACGTTGCCCAGCCCCACCTGCTGCAGGAAGGGCTGCACGCTGATGGCCTTGTTGACGGCGTCGGGCGGCTGCACCAAGGCCTGCGGCGCCAGCACGGCGGGCGGCTGCAGCCCCAGCAGGTCGGCGGCGGCGGCGGCGCCGGGGAAGATCTGCGGCGCGCCGTCGGCCGCCTGCACCACCGGCTGCAGCGCCGGCAGCTGGAAGGAGCCCAGGTCCAGCTCGGCCTCGGCCTCCAGCGTCTGCTCGGTGATGTTGGCCTCCTGCAGGCTCTGCTGCAGGATGTCGCACGGCTGCTCGGCGCCCGCGCCGGCGCCGCCCGGCGAGCCCAGGATGTCATCCTCCAGGAAGTCCAGGTCCACGCCGGCCGCCGGCTGGCTGGGCTCGGCGCTCAGGGGGTTCCCGGCCGCCTCCTGCCCGTGGAGCTGCGGCGACGGGGAACGAGTCAGGGGGGATGGGGGGTCAGGGGGGTTTGGGGGGCACCAAGGAGATCAGCGGAACCCAGTGGAACTCAATGGAACCCAACGGAAACCAAGGGAGCTCAGCAGAACCCAATGGAACCCAACAGAACCCAATGGAACCCAATGGAACCCAACGGAAACCAAGGGAGCTCAACGGAACCCAATGGAACCCAACAAAACTCAACAGAACCCAATGGAACCCAATGGAACCCAACGGAAACGAATGGAGCTCAACAGAACCCAATGGAACCCAACGGAAACCAAGGGAGCTCAACGGAACCCAATGGAAACCAATGGAGGTCAACAGAACCCAATGGAAACCAATGGAAACCAATGGAGCTCAACAGAACCCAATGGAACCCAATGGAAACCAATGGAGGTCAACGGAACCCAATGGAACCCAATGGAGGTCAACGGAACCCAATGGAACCCAATGGAAACCAATGGAGGTCAACGGAACCCAATGGAACCCAATGGAAACCAATGGAGGTCAACGGAACCCAATGGAAACCAATGGAAACCAATGGAGGTCAACAGAACCCAATGGAACCCAAGAAAATGCAACGGAACCCAACAGAACCCAATGGAACCCAAGGGTGCTCAATGGAACCCAATGGAGCCCAATGGAGCATGGAAAAAAATGGGAAAAAGAATGGGAAAAATTGGAAAATAATGGGTAAAAGAATGAGAAAAAGAAGGGAGAAAATGGGGAAAAAATGGGGAAAAGAATGGGGAAAAAATGGGGAAATAATGGGAAAAAGAATGGGAAAAATGGGAAAGAGCATTCCAAAAAATGGAGGGAAAATGGGAAAAAGAATGGGAAAAGTGGGAAGAATGGGAAAAAAATGGGAAAAAAAGGGAAAAAAAAGGAAAAAATTAAAAAAACAATGGGAAAAATGAGAAAAAGAATGGGAAAAATGGGAAGAAAAATGGGGAAAAGAATGGGGAAAAGAATGGGGGAAATGGGAGAAAGAATGGGAAAAAATGGGGGAAAATGGGAAAAAGGATGGGGAAAAAAAAGGAAAAAAATGAAAAAAAGAATGGGAAAAAGCATGGGAAAAAAGGGGAAAAAAATGGGAAAAAGAATGGGAAGAATGGGAAAAAGCATTCCAAAAAATGGAGGGAAAATGGGAAAAAAAAAGGGAAAAAAGGTGGGAAAAAGGGGAAAAAGAATGAGGAAAAAATGGGGAAATAAATGGGAAAAAATGGGAAAAAGCATGGAAAAAATTGGGAAAAAAATAGGAAAAATGGGAAAAAGAATGGGAAAAAGAACGGGAAAAGGAATGGGAAAAGGAATGGGGGAAATGGGAGAAAGAATGGGAAAAAATGGGGGAAAATGGGAAAAAGGATGGGAAAAAAGGAAAAAATGAAAAAAACAATGGGAAAAATGGGAAGAAAAGTGGGAAAAAGAATGGGGAAAAGAATGGGGGAAACGGGAAAAAGGATGGGGAAAAAAAGGAAAAAAATGAAAAAAAGAATGGGAAAAATGGGAAGAAAAATGGGAAAAAGAATGGGAAGAATGGGGAAAAAAATGGGGGAAAAAATGGAAAAAATGGGAAAAGAACGGGAAAAACGGGAAGAAAATAGGGAAAAGCCCAGGGAAAATGTGCTTTTTCTGCCGCTGAGGGGATTTGGAGGCGCTTTGCCCACTTTTCCCAAGTGCCGGGCCGGAATTCCGGGAGTTCCGGGAATTCCGGGAATGCCGGGACTCACCGCGGCTCCCTCGAAGAAGGCGCTGGCGGCGTCGCCCGAGTGCTCCAGGAGGTCGTCGCTGTCGATCTGCAACGGAACGGGCAGCCAAATTTGGGGAAAAATGGGGAAAATTGGGAAAAAATAATGGGGAAAAAATGGGGGAATCATGGGGGAATTATGGGAAAATTATGGGGGAAATTATCAGGGGAAAATATCGGGGAAAAATGGGGAAATAATGGGAGAAACGGGAAAATTATTGGGGGAAAATGGGGAAATAATGGGAAAATTATGGGGGAAATAATGGGGAAATTATCAGGGGAAAATATCGGGGAAAAATGGGGAAATAATGGGAGAAACAGGGAAATTATCGGGGAAAAATGAGGAAAATGGGGAAATAATGGGAAAAATGGGGAAAAAATGGGGAAAATGGGAAAATAATGGGGAAATCATGGGGGAATTATGGGGGAATTATGGGGGAAAATGGAGAAATAATGGGAAAATTACGGGGGAAATAATGGGGAAATTATCAGGGGAAATAATGGGGAAAAATGGGGAAAAATGGGGAAAAAATGGGAGAAACAGGGAAATTATCGGGGAAAAATGAGGTAAATGGAGAAATAATGGGAGAAACGGGAAAATTATTGGGGGAAAATGGGGAAATAATGGGGAAAATGGGGAAAAAATGGGAAAAACGGGAAATGGGAAAAATATGGAAATAATGGGGGAAATGGGGAAAAATGGGGAAATTGTTAGGGGAAAATGGGGAATAATGGGGAAATAATGGGAAAATGGGAAAAAAGGGGAAATTATCGGGGAAAATGGGGAAGGGGAAAAATGGGAAAAAATGGGAAAAAATGGGAAAAAATGGGAAAGGGGGGAAATAATGGGAAAAATGAGGGAAAATCGATGGGGGAAAACGGGAAAATTATGGGGGAAATGGGAAATAATGGGGGGAAATGGGAAAAGTGGGGGAAATAATGAGGAAATAATGGGGGGAAATGGGAAAAGTGGGGGAAATAATGAGGAAATAATGGGGGGAAATGGGAAAAGTGGGGGAAATAATGAGGAAATAATGGGGGGAAATGGGAAAAGTGGGGGAAATAATGAGGAAATAATGGCAGAAAATGGGAAAAATGGGGAAAATGGGGATTTTTGGGCTCTCACCTTCTCGGATCCATGGAGGAAATCGTTCAGGGCCTGCGGATCGCTGGGGAAACAGGGAGAGGAGGCTCAGGGAGGGAATTCCGGGAAAATCCCGGAAAATCCGGGAAAACCCCGGCGATCCCGCAGCCCTGGGGACCAAATTCCCGGATTTTGGGGCCAATTTCCTCCTTTTTTTGGTCATTTCCCTCCTCTTTTGGGGCCATTTCCCACAAAAATTTTTCCTTTTTTTGGAACCATTTCCTGCCTTTTTTTGGGTCATTTCTCGCCCTTTTCTGGGCCATTTTCCTCCTTTTTGGAAACATTTCCCCACCTTTTTTTTGGGCCATTTTCCACTTTTTTTGGGGGTAATTCCCTGCCTTTTTTGGAACCATTTCCAGCCTATTTTGGGGTCATTCCCTGGCTTTTTTTGAGGCCATTTTTCTCCTTTTTTGGGCCATTTCCTGCCTTTTTTTGGAACTATTTCCAGCCTATTTTGGGCCATTTCCCACCTTTTTATTTGAACCATTTCCTGCCTTTTTTTTGGGGTAATTTTCCACCTTTTTGGGCCATTTCCCATCCTTTTTTTTGAACCATTTCCTGCCCTTTTTTTGGGCCATCTCCCACTTTTTTTGAACCATTTCCTGCCTTTTTTTTGGGCCATTTCCGCCTTTTTTTTGACCATTTCCCGCCTTTTCTTGGGACCCATTTCCAACTTTTTTTTTGGTCCATTTCCGCCTTTTTTCGGAACCACTTCCCACCTTTTTTGATTCATTTTCCTCCTTTTTCGGGCCATTTCCACCCTTTTTTTGGGCCAATTCTTGCCTTTTTTTGGAACCATTTCCCGTCCTTTTTTTTTTTTAACCGTTTCCCGCCGTTTTTTGGGGCAATTTCCGGCTTTTTTGGGCCGTTTCCCGGGAATTTCCCGGGAATGTTCCGGACTCACCAGATGACGTCTAACAGGCACCGCCCGTCCTCATCGTCCATGTCCCCTGCGAGCAGAGGCGGCGTCACTCCCAAATTCCCAAAAACGCCCCAAATTCCCCCAAATCCCCCAAAATTCCCAGGTCCGAGCTCCTTTTCCTGCTCTGTTCCAGAGAAAACCCGGGGGAAATCCCAAAATTCCCATTTGGGTTGGGTTTGTGGGGGAGAAATCCCAAAATTCTCATTCTGGATGGGATTTTGGAGGGAATTTTGGGGAAAAGGGGGAATCCATCCCAAAATTCTCATTCTGGATGGGATTTTGGAGGGAATTTTGGGGAAAAGGAGGAATCCATCCCAAAATTCTCATTCTGGATGGGATTTTGGGGGGAATTGCAGGGAAAAGGGGGAATCCATCCCAAAATTCTCATTTTGGATGGGATTTTGGGGGGAATTTTGGGGAAAAGGGGGAATCCATCCCAAAATTCTCATTCTGGATGGGAGTTTGAGGGGAATCCTGGGGAAAACCCGGGAGAAATCCCGAAATTCCCATTTTTAATGTGGTTTTGGAGGAAACGGATCCCAAAATTCTCTTTTTTGATGAGATTTTTGGGGAAAAGGGGGAATTTATCCCAAAATTCTCATTTTTGATGGGATTTTGGGGGGAATCCCAGGCAAAAGGGGGAATTTATCCCAAAAGTCACATTTTGGATGGGATTTTTTTGGGAATCCATCCCAAAATTCTCATTTTTGGGGGGAATTTTGGGGACAAACGGGGGGAAATTGGGGGCAGGGAAGGGATTTATCCCAAAAATACTCCAGGGATACTCCAGGGATATTTCAGGGATACTCCGGGGTTACTCCAGGGATACTCCGGGGATATTCCAGGGATATTCCAGGGATACTCCGGGGATACTCCGGGCTCAGCTCCAGCTGTGCCTCAGTTTCCCCAGAATTCCCAAAAATCCCAAAAAAAAAGAGCCCCAAAAGGCCCCGGGATTGGGAATTACCAAAATTCCCAAAAAAACCCCCCTGGAATTCCCAAAATTCCCAAAAATAAAAGCCGCAAAAGGCCCCAGGATCGGGAATTCCCAAAACAATGCCGGAATTCCCTAAAAATCACGCCTGGATTTCCCGGAATTCCCAGAAAAAAAACTCCAGAATTCCCAAAAAAAAAAAAGCCCCCAAAGGCCCCGGGATCAGGAATTCCCAAAAACCCCCGGCAGTCCCAGAATTCCTGGAATGCTCAAAATTCCCAAAGCAAGTCCCGGAATTCCCAAAATTCCTGGAATCCCCAGAGCTGTCAAAATCCTGGAATTCCAAAAATTCCCCCAATTCCCAGAACTGCCAAAATTCCAGAACTCCCCCAAATTCCTGGAATTCCCAAAAACAACCTTGGAATACTCAAAATTCCCAGAACTGCCAAAATTCCAGAATTCCCGAAATTCCTGGAATTCCCAAACCAGCCTTGGAATTGCCAAAAATTCCTGGAATCCCCCAAATTCCAGGGCCCGGCGGGGGGAGGGGGAGGAAGAGAAGAGGAAGAGGAGGAAGAGGAAGAGGAGGAGGAAGAGGAGGAAAAGCCGGAGAAGAGGAGGAAGAGGAGGAGGAAGAAGAGGAAGAGCAGGAAGAGGAAGAAGAGGAGGAAGAAGAGAAGAGGAGGAAGAGGAGGAGAAGATGAAGAGGAGGAAGAGGAAGGGGAGGAAGAGGAGGAGGAAGAAGAAGAGGAAGAAAAGGAGAAGAGGAAGAAGAGGAGGAAGAGGAGGACAAAATGAAGAGGAAGAGGAGGAAGGGGAGGAAGAGGAGGAAGAGGAGGAGGAAGAAGAGGAAGAGCAGGAAGAGGAAGAAGAGGAGGAAGAGGAGGAAGAGCAGGAGAAGATGAAGAGGAAGAGGAGGAAGGGGAGGAAGGGGAGGAAGGGGAGGAAGAGGAGGAGGAAGAAGAAGAGGAAGAAGAGGAAGGGGAGGAAGAGCAGGAGGAGGAAGAGGAGAAGGAAATGAGGAGGAGGAAGAGCGGGAGGAAGAGGAGGAGGAAGAGACCCAGAGGCTGAGCAGGAGGAGGAGCAGGAGGAAGAGGAGGGGGAGGAAGGCTGCAGAGCCCCAGCCCAGCTCCTTCCCAAAGCCACGAGGAGGAGGAGGAGGAGGAGGAAGGGGAGGAAGAGGAGGAAGGGGAGGAAGGGGAGGAAGAGGAGGAAGAGGAGGAAGAGGAGGAAGGGGAGGAGGAGGAGGAAGGGGAGGAAGAGGAGGAAGGGGAGGAAGGGGAGGAAGAGGAGGAAGAGGAGGAAGAGGAGGAAGGGGAGGAAGAGGAGGAAGGGGAGGAAGAGGAGGAAGGGGAGGAAGAGGAGGAAGGGGAGGAAGAGGAGGAAGGGGAGGAAGGGGAGGAAGAGGAGGAAGAGGAGGGGACCCAGAGGCTGAGCAGGAGGAGGAGGAAGAGGCACAGGAGGATGAGGAAGATGAGGAGCAGAGGCCGAAGATCAGGAAGAGGCACAGGAGGAAGAGGAGGAAGATGAGGAGGAAGAGGCACAGGAGGAAGATGAGGAAGATGAGGAGGAAGCACAGGAGGATGAGGAAGATGAGGAGCAGAGGCCGAAGATCAGGAAGAGGCACAGGAGGAAGAGGAGGCAGAGCCGGGGGAGGAAGAGCAGTAGCAGCAGGAGGAGGAGGAGGAGGAGGAGGCGGCCGAGGCCGAAGGCCGCACCCCGCGCTGCCCGCTCAGCTCGGACCCGCTCGGAACCGCTCGGACCCGCTCGGGGCCCTCAGCCCCGCTCAAACCCACTCGGACCCGCTCGGAACCGTCCCGGTCTATTCGGGCCCGCTCGGAACCTTTCGGAACCGCTCGGGCCCTTCAGATCAGCCCCGCTCAAACCCGCTCGGAACCGTTCGGAACCGTTCGGACCCGCTCGGGGCCCTCAGCCCCGCTGGGCCCCGCTCGGACCCGCCCGCCCGGACCCGCTCGGGGCCCTCAGCCCCGCTCGGCCCCGCTCGGAACCGTTCGGAACCGTTCGGACCCGCTCGGGGCCCTCAGCCCCGCTCGGCCCCNCTCGGCCCCGCTCGGAACCGTTCGGAACCGTTCGGACCCGCTCGGGGCCCTCAGCCCCGCTCGGCCCCGCTCGGAACCGTTCGGAACCGTTCGGAACCGCTCGGGCCCCTCAGCCCCGCTCGGCTCCGCTGGGTCCCGCTGGCCCCGCTCGAATCCACTCGGAACCTTTCGGAACCGCTCGGAACCTTTCGGAACCGCTCGGAACCGCTCGCGGCCCTCAGCCCCGCTGGGCCCCGCTCGGACCCGCCCGCCCGGACCCGCTCAGGGCCCTCGGCCCCGCTCGGACCCGTTCGGGCCCTCAGCCCCGCTGGGCCCCGCTCGGTTTTTGGGCCCCGCTCGGTTTTTGGGCCCCGCTCGGTTTTTGGGCCCCGCTCGGTTTTTTGGGCCCCGCTCGGTTTTTGGGCCCCGCTCGGTGGGGAGGGGCCCCGCCCCCCTTCCCCCCCCCGCTCCCCCCCCGCCGTTCCCGGGCCCGGGGGCGCGCGCAGGGCGGGTTGGGGGGGGGGGGGTTCGCGGGGGGCCCCCCCCCCCCCGGCGCCCCGCGGGGTTTCCCGGTGGCGGCGGCACGGGCGCGGGCGCGCGGTCGGCGCCGCCGCCTCCGGCGCGGCCGGGCGGCGATGTCGCGGCCGGGCGGGCGCTTTTTGTGCGCCGGGACTCACCGTGAGGCCTGAGCGGCGCCCGCCGCGGGGTCTCCCAGGCGCCCCCGCACGGGCGCCGCCGCCAGGACCCCGCCGGGGCCCCGCCGCTTAGGGGTTCGCGGCGCTGCCTGATCGCGGCCGCCGCTCCCGCCGGGCCCGCGCCGGGCGGCGCAGCGGCGGGCGGCGGCCACGGGGGGGCTCGGCGGGATCGCCCCGCTCCTCCCGGCGCCCCCCCGGCGGAGGAACGGGGACGGGGTCATTAGCATAAACCGCGCCCCCGGACAGGCATTACAATAGACACGCCCCCCGCGCTGGCGCCTCAGCGGCCAAGCCCCCCCCCGGGACGGATCATTTGCATAAGCCACGCCCAGAGTTCTTATATTAGCATAAACCACGCCCAGAGCACCGCTATTAGCATAAACCACGCCCAGAGGGCTGCTATTAGCATAAACCACGCCCAGATATCTTATATTAGCATAAACCACGCCCAGAGCGCTGTTATTAGCATAAACCACACCCAGAGCGCTGCTATTAGCATAAACCACGCCCAGAACGCTGCTATTAGCATAAACCACGCCCAGATCACTCTTATTAGCATAAACCACGCCCAGATAATTGTTGTTAGCATAAACCACGCCCATATAACTCTTATTAGCATAAACCACGGCCAGAATACTTCTATTAGCATAGACCACGCCCAGATCACTCATATTAGCATAAACCACGCCCAGATCACTCCTATTAGCATAAACCACGCCCAGATCACTGTCTATTAGCATAAACCACGCCCAGATCGCTGTTATTAGCATAAACCACGCCTATAATATTGTCTATTAGCATAAACCACGGCCANACGGCCAGATCACTGTCTATTAGCATAAACCACGCCCAGATCGCTGTTATTAGCATAAACCACGCCTATAATATTGTCTATTAGCATAAACCACGCCCAGACCGCTGTTATTAGCCTAAACCACGCCTGTAATATTGTCTATTAGCATAAACCTCGCTCAGATCGCTTTGTTAGCATACACCACGTCCAGAACACTGCTATTAGCATAAACCTCGCTCAGGTCGCTGTTATTAGCATAAATCACGCCCCGAGGCGCGGCCCACCAGCCCTGGCTCTCTCATTTGCATAAACCACGCTGCTGTCCCGCCCCCACGCTCTGTTAATTACCATAAACCCCGCCCACACCCGCCGCCCGAGGCGCCTGCTCATTTGCATAACCACGCCCACATCGGCGGGTTCCCCCCCTCTGTCCTCCCGCCCGCCAGGGGGCGCCACCGCCCCGCGGGGTCACGTGGGGCGGCGCGGGGGTCACGTGGGGCGGCGCGGGGCCGTCATGGCGGCGGCGGCGGGGAAGGCGAAGGAGGAGGAGGCGCAGCGGCTGCTGGGCGAGGCCGAGCGGAAGGTCCGCGGGGCTCAGTCCTTCCTCGGGGGCCTCTTCGGGTGCGTGCGAGGGGCGCGGGGCGGCCGGGAGGGACGGGCGGGACGGGCCGGGAGAACCCCGCGGGACGGGCCGGGAGAGCCCCGCGGGACGGGCCGGGAGAACCCCGCGGGACGGGCCGGGAGAGCCCCGCGGGACGGGCCGGGAGAGCCCCGCGGGACGGGCCGGGAGAGCCCCGCGGGACGGGCCGGGAGGGACGGGCGGGACGGCCGGGAGAGCCCCGCGGGACGGGCCGGGAGGGACGGGCGGGACGGGCCGGGAGAGCCCCGCGGGACGGGCCGGGAGGGACGGGCGGGACGGCCGGGAGAGCCCCGCGGGAAGGGCCGGGAGAGCCCCGCGGGACGGGCGGGACGGGCCGGGAGAGCCCCGCGGGACGGGCCGGGTGAGCCCCGCGGGACGGGCCGGGTGAGCCCCGCGGGACGGGNGAGCCCCGCGGGACGGGCGGGACGGGCCGGGAGAGCCCCGCGGGACGGGCCGGGTGAGCCCCGCGGGACGGGCCGGGTGAGCCCCGCGGGACGGGCGGGACGGGCCGGGAGAGCCCCGCGGGACGGGCCGGGAGAGCCCCGGCGGCCTGAGGGGGGAAAAGGGGGAGGGGAGGGAATCTGGGGGGCCTGAGGGGAATTTGGGGGGTCCTGAGGGGATTTGGGAGTTCTGAGAAATATTTGGGGGTTCTGAGGGGAATTTGGGAGGTCCTGAGTGGATATGGGGGGGTCCTGAGGGGAAATTTGGGAGTTCTGAGGGGAATTTGGGGGTCCTGCGGGGAAATTTGCGGGTCCTGAGGGGATTTGGGGGGTCCAGAGGGGGAATTTGGAGGGTCCTGAGAAAGATTTGGGGGTTCTGAGGGGAATTTGGGGGGTCCTGAGGGAGTTTCGGGGGGTCCTGAGGGAATTTGGGGGTTCTGAGGGGGGTTTGGGGGGTTCTGAGGGGAACCTGGGGATCCTGAGGGGGATTTGGGATCCTGAGGGGAAATTTGGCTGGTCCTGAGGGAGTTTCGGGGGATCCTGAGGAAATTTGGGGGTCCTGAGGGGAAATCTGGGGGGCCCTGAGGAAGTTTGGGGGTTCTGAGGGGAATTTGGGAGTTCTGAGGGGATTTGGGTGTTCTGAGGGGAATTTGGGGGGTCCTGAGGGGAATTTGGGGGTCCTGAGGGGAAATCTGGGGGGCCCTGAGGGAGTTTCGGGGTTCTGAGGGGAATTCTGGGAGTTCTGAGGAAGATTTGGGGGTTCTGAGGGGAAATTGGGGGGTCCTGAGGGGAAATTGGGTGGGGAAGGGGAACCTGGGGAATCCTGAGGGGGGTTTGGGATCCTGAGGGGAAATTTGGCTGGTCCTGAGGGGATTTGGGGGGTCCAGAGGGGGAATTTGGAGGGTCCAGAGGAGGAATTTGGGGGTCCTGAGGGAGTTTGGGGTGTCCTGAGGGGAATTTGGGGGTTCTGAGGAGAACCTGGGGAGTCTTGAGGGGGTTTTGGGGGTCCTGAGGGGAAATTGGGGATCCTGAGTGGATTGGGGGGGTCCAGAGGGGGAATTTGGGAATTCTGAGGGAGTTTGGGGGAGTTCTGAGGGGAATTTGGGGGTCCTGAGGGGAAATTTGGGAGTTCTGAGGAAGATTTGGGGGTTCTGAGGGGAACTGGGGAATCCTGAGGGGATTTGGACGAGATCTGGGGGGAATTTGGGGGTTCTGAGGGGATTTTGGGGGGTCCTGAGAGGAATTTGGGGGTTCTGAAGGTATTTTGAGGAGTCCTGAGGGGATTTGGGGTGGGGGAGGACAAATTTGGGGGTTCTGTGGTGAAGTTTGGAAGTTGTGAGGGGAACTGGGGGACCCTGAGGGGATTTGGGGGATCCTGACGGGAAATTTTGGGGCAGGAGAGGGGAAATTTGGGAATTTTCCTGTGAGGGGCCCCCAAAATAGCCCCGAATTCCCATTTTCCCACCCCAAATTCCCATTTTTTCCCCCTGGAATTCCCATTTTCCCACCCCAAATTCCCATTTTTCCATGGAATTCCCATTTCCCCACCGTGGTTCCTGCCTTGCCCCGCAGAATTCCCAGAAAAAATCCATTTTTTCCCCAGAATAGATCCCAGAAGTCCCAGAATTCCCAGAGCAATTCCCATTTTCCCCAGAATAATTCCCATTTTCCCCTGATTTTTTCCATGTTTTTCTCCTGTTTTTTCTAATTTTTTTCCATTTTTTCCATTTTTTCCTCCGTTTTTCCTAAATAACTCCTAGAATTCTCCAAATACCTCTCAGCATTCCCACTTTTCCCAGAATATCTCCTGGAATTCTGGGAATAATTCCCATTTTTCCACTTTTCCAGGGGCTCCTCTCAGCTGGAGGAGGCCTGCGAGTGCTGCTTCAATCATTCCCTGAGTCATTCCCTTTTTTCCCATTTTTCCCTGTTTTTTCCTGTTTTATCACATTTTTTCCCAGAACACCTCTCAGAATTCCCATTTCTCCCGGAATAATTCCCTTTTTTCCTAATTTTTCCCAGAAAATTCCCTTTTTTCCCCAAAACAGTTTTGCTTTTTTTTCTATTTTCTCCCTGTTTTTCCTCCCATTTTTTCCCCCATTTTTTTTCCAATTTTTTCCCATTTTTCCCCTGTTTTTTCCCATTTTGTCCTGAATAACTCCAGAATTCCCAGAACACTTCACAGAATTCCCATTTTTCCCAGAATAATTCCCTTTTTTCCCCTAATATTCCCCATTTTCCCCCATTTTTTTCCCCGTTTTTCCCTATTTTTTCCCGTTTTTCCCCCGAATAACTCCCAGAACTCTCAGAATAATTCCCGGAATTCCCGGAATAATTCCAATTTTTCCCATTTTTCCCATTTTCCAGGGGCTCCTCACGGCTGGAGGAGGCCTGCGAGTGCTACGCCCGCGCCGCCAACCTCTTCAAGATGGCCAAAAACTGGAGCCGTGAGTCCGGAACCCCGGGAATTTCGGGAATTTCGGGAATCCTGGGAATCCTGGGAATCCCATTCCCACTCTTCCCCCATTTCCCAGAGCCCGGGAATCCTGGGAATTTTGGGAATTCTGGGAATTCCAGGAGTCCTGTTCCCATCTTTATCCCGTTTCTTGGAGACTGGGAATTCTGGGGATTTTGGGAATCCTGACTCCATTCCAATCTTTATCCCGGTTTTCCAGAGCCTGGGAATCCCGGGAATTTGGGGATTCCCGATGTTTTTCCCGATGTTTTTCCCGTTTTTCCAGAGGCGGGATCGGCGTTCTCCCGTGCGGCCGCTGCAGGGCAAACACCGATCCCAGGATTTATCCTGGAAATTCCCAATCAATTCCCAATCAAGCCCCAGAAATTCCCAATCAATTCCCAATCAAGCCCCAGAAATTCCCAATCAATTCCCAATCAAGCCCCAGAAATTCCCAATCAATTCCCAATCAATCCCCAGAAATTCCCAATCAATTCCCAATCAATCCCCAGAAATTCCCAATCAATTCCCAATCAA